AAGATATAGATATTTTTATTTACTTCGAGTAGACTTGAAAATTTCATAAATACAGTTCTACGAGGGTGGATTGAAAAGTACTCGGCCTAACCAAGAAAATAAACAAATACTAAATCAGTTATATTTTTATTTTTCTACATAATCACCATCAAGTTCAATACACTTTTGCCACCTCCCCTTCCAAGCATTTAGACCGTTGAAAAAAAATGATTCTTCCTTAGAGTCAAAATATGCGTCTACAGCTGCTTTGACCTCGTCGTTTGTCGAAAATCTTTGACCTTCCAAGTGCTTTTTTAGGTTAGGGAACAGAAAGAAGTCTGATGGTGCCAGATCAGGTGAATACGGCGGATGCGGTAACAGTTCAAAGCCACAGTTGTGAATTTCAGCCATTGACTGTACTGACGTGTGAACACGGGCGTTATCTTGATGAAACAGGACTTTTCTTCTGAGCATTCCTCGACGTTTTTCTTTTATTTCCTCTCGTAAACGACGTAGTAAGGTGCAGTAGTAATCAGAGTTTATATTCTGACCCCTTTCAAGATAATCAATCATAATCACACCTTTCGAGTCCCAGAATACTGAAGCCATCACCTTATTTGCCGACAAAATCGACTTAGCCTTTTTAGGGGGTGGTGAACCAGGTCTTCTCCACTGTTTTGATTGTTGTTTTGTTTCCGGTGTACAGTAATGAACCCATGTTTCGTCCATAGTAACAAAACGATTCAAAAAATCATCTGCATCGGCTTCAAATAACTCCAAACAGTCGCGTGAAATAGTCAATCGCGTCCTTTTTTGTTCAACTGAAAGCAGTCGCGGAACCCACCTCGCAGACACCTTGTGGAAACCCAACTCGTTGACAATGATGTTTTGAGTTCGTTCATAAGAGATGCCTATAATCTCGGCTATCTCTCTAATTTTTAATCTGCGGTCTCCCATTATTAAATCAAGTACTTTTTTAATATTTTCGTCAGTAGTTGACGTCGAAGGCCTTCCAGAGCGGGGTTCATCTTTCACACTCTCTCTACCACGCTTAAATTCTGCTATCCATTTTTTGACGGATGAATATGACAGAGCACAATCGCCTAATGTACTGACCATGTCATTATGGATGGCTTTTGATGATAGCCCCTTCTTATGGAGGTACTTAATGACGGCACGCTGCTCGATTTGCTCCATTCGCGGAAATTATGTCCGATTACTTTGTTAATAAATTTATAAAATCACAACTAATTATCGCACACGTTTCGAACTTCACACAATTAACTAGTCTGAACTGAACTAAATAATGTGGGTAGATTTGATTTTTAGAATTGAATGGATCTGTGTTAGGCCGAGTACTTTTCAATCCACCCTCGTATAATAATGAATATCACACATGGATTAAAACTAATGTTACGGGTTTTTTACGCATCTTGACTCCTCACCGAATGAAAGCACCGAAGCTCCGGGAAGTCTAAAGTATGTAAACATGTTTAGTATCGTCCCAACCATTATATACAACAAATCCTTGCAATAGAACACCGAATCCTACCAATGATGATTCGCGAGGCTATTGAAATTAAAAATATCCTAATTTTAATAGGGAAGATGGCTGAGTGCTACTATCTGCTAAGGACTCCATGATTAATAAAATTAAATTCAAACTACTACTGCATTTTAACTATTCTATTTTAACTATGACATCAGGTCGTCAAACACCTTAGTTCTCCCACCCCGCCCGTGACCATGGGTGCTATAAATTGCCCAAACCATCGGGAATTTAAAAAGTTAAAATTAAACGCGAATAAAATTCTTAAAATTACTTTTATTCCTTATAAATTTTATACACAGTGAACGTGAGGAACACTACACTCATGAACGGGAGTAGAAAACTGTTCGCACTGTTGTGGCGGTGAAAGAAAATCCAACACATCATATCGTCCCGTCGTAAGAGGCGACATAGGAAAAAAAACAGTAGATGGGATGATCTGCGCCATCTTCTTGACAACAGATCAAAATAATAATAGCTGCGGTTGCCAACCCGCCACTATAGCAAATATCCAGCTACTTGAAAATTTATGGGGGAGGCCTATGTTCATTTCAGTGGACTTTTGATAGGCTGACGATAATGAGTTCTACTCATCTTTGCAAGCCTTAATATTTACGGTAAAGTGAAAACATAAATTATCATACCCGAAAACACGAATGAAATATAAACTGCATACATTGCCCCATGAAAAGTAAAAAAGCAGCTTACATACATGCTACTACTGGGCACAGGCTGTAGAGTTTTTGGCCAAAAAAGAGTTCGCTGCACTGATTCCAACGCGGGATGAACGTAATGTAAATGATTCAATTATTTACATCGTATATTCAGTAGCATTGTATTATTTCATTTTATCAATGTCTTGCCATTTTAATTTATTTAGAAGTAAGTAGGTGGCGCTAATATTACATGAAATAATGAAAGCCAAAACTATATCATCTGGTAATATCAGCAATAGAAACGAACATTGATTTATTATATCAATAAGGGATAAAGTGATGTCAATTCTCTTAAAAGTTCTGTTTCTGTTAAACATAAGCATCAGCGTCGCTAGCGGTGAAAAACGATAATGATGTCGTCATATGACCATATTATGAAATAGCAACGTTGTGTTTAGTTACTAATATCTTCAAAAGATTTCTATTCATTGATTTGGTCAAGCTATATCATGACACGGTCATCAAATAGTGTTAAATACACATTAATTTCAGTCATTTTTTCAGTGTTTTCACGAAATGATAGACTACTTTATGATATATGATCAATTCTACGACCTGGCCACGACATACATAAAAATCTCTTTAATAAAACTATGATGATAATGAAAATTTTGCAACAATTGCAGACAGACCAGTTTTTATCACTTTACATAATTATATATTAGTAATTGAAATAAATACCTTATCAATTTCCATATTTTTGATAGATGTCACTATTATCTATTGAAATTATTACACTTTTAAAATAAAATAACAAAAATGCTAAAAGCTGAACGTTAATTTTTTTAATAATTTTAAAAATCTAATAATTTAATCATATAAATGTAAGTTATTTATATTATTTCATTTATTAGTAACTGAAGGCAAAATATACAACTTTTTCCTTTTGATGATAGATGGCGCTGTTTTGAATACGAAATCGGTGTAGTTTCAAATTATTTTACCATAATTATAACTATATTTTAACTTTATTTACAAATATGGTAATATGGTATTTATTTGAAAAACACCCGTCGTTCCGCCTATAACTAAGATACAACAGAAAATTAACATCTAAAGGAAATTAATATACTTAACCTTTCTTTTTTGAAGTTTCGTAATCGGATAAAAAGTAGCCTATAAGTTGCCCCGGGTTACTGACTACCTACATACAAAATTTCATGTAAATCCGTTTAGTAGTTTTTGCGTGAATCCGGAATACACAGACAGACAGACAGACAAAAATTCTAAAAACCACTAATTTGGCTTCAGAACCCTTTATTTAGTCCCCTTGACTTGTTTTTTCAAGAATATATTAGAATTACAGACACGACTTTTCTACAGATTTATTATATGTATAGATAATACATACATATTTTATAATTCTTCAGTCCGTATGTAACTTCTCTTAAATGGCTGGACCGATTTTGATGAAATCTTGTGTGTGTGTTAAGTTGATTAGAGAATGGTTTAGATTCATAAATGGACCCGGTAGGTGGCGTTGTTGTCGAAATCCAGAAATCAAATGTGCGAAGCCGGCGCGGTTCTCCAGTAACAGATAATATTATTATGTTGATTGTGTAAGTCATTAATTATGACTTGCTTCAAATTGCCTCACTGTGCTTGCTTCTTTCTTGGTGTTTTATAATTTCAAGAGCATTATATTACTATTTTTGAGGTTATTAGGATAAACTTGGACACCTAGAAGTACATTTTTTCTATGTTTAATAAATAACTATTCATTTTCAGGTACTTGGAGACTTATATCTTGAGATGCCTGATAACCATATTGTTAACTTAATTGATGAATTAGAAACTTGGCCTGTTTTTATGGAGAAAAATAAAGAAGCATATATTAAAAGTTATTTGATTATAAATATTTTGTTTTAAGTATTCAAATTTGTATTTAGGGTAAAATATTTACTTATATATTCAAATTAGTTTACTGTAATAAATAACATTTTTTGTGATATTTCAGATCTATCTTCTTTTTATGTAAGTCGAAGAAAACACCGCGCTTGTATATTAAAGCCAGACATTGCAGATTCAAAGTTACCTGTTATAACTTTGGAAACATCTTTAGATGAATATAGCGCCATCTGTGCTACAAGACCGCAAAAAATCAGGAAAACGCTATGTTATTCTAGTTCGGAAGATGGCAGCACGGTACTAGATGTAAAATGTAACTTTATAAAAGAAAAAAAGGCTTTCAAGTTGACCCACGGCGAAATCGAAAAATATGCAAACATGTATGTGTCAGTGCGTGGACGAGAATATAATGTATTAAATGTGCTACTAAATAAAATTCGTGACCTAAATATGTGCGAACGTTACAAAGATCACGATTTAAAATCCGTTGGATGTGGTATAACACAGAGGAGATCTAATTAGAATTATTGAATAGGGTTTTCGGAATTTTTGTCCATTATGTTCCCCCACATTATTATGTTTAAATATTATCTTTGATGTTGATTGATTGTTTAAGATTTTGATGTACCAGTGTTGAATTAGATATTTCATCGAGTATTATAAGGATTTTTTTTAATAATTTCACAAATTCAACAAAAATAAAAACAAATTCAGACTAAAACTAGTTTAATAGAATTCTTATTCAAATTTCCATAAATATTTATATTGTAGGTAGTAGCAACCCACTGTGTTTGCTGCAAAACCACTATTAGTATTAATACCCACAAACGTGTTTAATAAAATATTTTTGTTGTGTTGTTTTAGACTTTTTTTTATTGAAAATAAAAGTAAGATTTCGTTTTTTTTTTCAAATTTTATTTTATATACAAATAGAAATTATTCCCTTAAGTAAATATACTTACTTAACTTACATTATTCTTAAATTAATAATATTATGCTATAATATGTATGTATGTACGACGGAATTCGGGCAGTGCGTTTGGAAGAGATCTCAAACTCAAAACAATAATTTTAAGGCAAGTTCCTAAAACAGCACAAAGAACATACGCGACGAAGTACGATGTTGTAGCTTATCAGCTGTATTAAATAGTTACATTCAAGACAGTACTTTACAATAATATTTATAATCTTTATAATATGTTGGCTGGTCAAATTACCAAGTCCACGATTCTCAAAGTGTAATAGCGCCAAATGGTACCTTCCTTGAATTTAAAATAATTTGAATATTGCCTACTGAATTCTGATAATAACTTATAAGTAGCGGGTTTGGAATGATCACAGACGGAGTCCTGGGTTTGTGCTTGCGACGTAATTGAGAAGTTCTTCGGAATCCTCGCATACGACTGGCTTTTCATGGTAGCATGCGACATCGTGCCACGCGATGCCGTCGTTGTAAACGTTGTTGAGGACGCTCATGCAGGATTCTGTAGTGCCGTTGATATCGAATTCGGCGTTGTCAGGCTGGCGTTGTTTCTTGTGACCGGTCTGCGACCATGGGTTGTACCCCCAACCGTTAGGGATCTGAAGTATAATTTTCATATTGATGAATAAGGAAACATTAAAAATTATGGAAATGATGAATAGTACCTAACTATTTGTAAAGAGAAAGAATAAATACATACAAAAGTTTATTAAATGCGTCAAAAAAACTTTTACAAACCTGGTTAGTCGGGGACATCTTTTCCCTGTTTGCAGACCAGAACCATCCTAAGATGTTCTTGGGTTCAAGATCTTTACGGGATTCGCATCCTTTGAAATCGCAAAGGCGTCCCGAAGTCCAAATGTAGGGAACATCATCTGTGACGCAGAAATATTTAATATTATTATTGAACTAAAATTATTATATTGCTATATAATAATTAGATAGACATAGATTGTCTCATAGGTGGCATATTTGCCATAGTTGCCACCTAAAGACTACCGCAGTCTGTTATTTTGAGTTGTTTTCAGGATGATGCTGTTGCAAACCTGTTGTTTCATTTTCACCGTTGCCTTTTATGACACCCTTGGATTATATATATATATAATTAAAATAAATAATTGATTATGATATGAATATTTTTGTCAGGTTAAGGTTCCAACTCATTTAATTATGTGGTTGATTGTTAGTTATTCTTTTAAAATATTTATACCATATTATAATTAGTCTATGTGGACTTTTAATAACAATGTGTTAGCACTGCAAGGGCGGAAAATATAGCGAACGTTGAAGTTGATGCTCACAATTTTTCGACCTCTCCTGTCGTCCGCAGCGCCGCTACTGCAAGAGACACGTAGCAGCAGTCAACTGTTTTCTTTGTTTTCAGATATAGATAGTGTGAATGATCTCCGATAGATGGCGTTAACAATTTTCATCCAGACCCGTAACAATTATTTGTATGAAATTCATTTTAATAGTTTTCTATTAGCGTTTACGATTATTGAAAGTCACCTTGGCTAAGTCTTTAGTACCTACCGCAAGCAACGCATCCGTGTATGTGACGTCAGGACAGCCAATCATTTGCGCGTGGGTTATGCAGTTATGCTCGTGCAAACAGTGACGCTCTATCATCCTAACCTATCTGTGCCTGATATGACGCCTATACGTTAGGATCTCAGGCAATCTCAGGTACTTATGCTTAATAGGCTCGGCAAAGAGAATATAATCACTACGTTTAAGAGGCGGGACTTCCATAGTAAAAATAATTGCATGAAATTACGCCAAGTTACTCTACCAACATCAAGATATGACATTTAGTTTTGAGAAACAGTGCTGACAACATTGACGAATTACAATAGCGCTGTAAATGGCTATCCTCGAATAATTTTATCGATATAACCTTTATCGATATATTATTTAACGATATTTTTACATAAGAAAAGTTAGATCTCTATACTGAATTATTTATGAGAAATAAAAATTTTAACGTGTGGATTGAGTAAAAATGCCGATGAGGATAAGAAATCAATATATTTTACACACAGCAATTTGTATTTATATCTCTACAATTAGGTACAAAAGTATGTATAAAGAAAATATAAAATAAAAAATGCACTTTTATACTAGTAATTAATTAATTAAAAAATAAATGACGACTCCGTAGCGCAGTGGCTAAGCGTTTGGCTGCGGCATTGCAGGACCGAGGCTTCCTTCCCGCACTGAACAATTGTTGCTATGCTGTAAAATAAATAGTCTGCCTCTGGATGCTTGTTTTCAACGTTAGTTTTTTTAAGGGTATAAATATTGGGTTTTTAATACTGATTGGATTAAATTGCTTTTATGTGTAACAAATACTATATACAAATCGCTAGGCTTCTTTACAGAGGCACCTATGTACATACTATTCGCAGAGATCGTTTACTAATTGTCGCTTTTAAAATAAGTGCTCATTATAGCTAATGTTTATTGATGAATAAAATAATGATTTAGTTATATAATCTAATTCTTGCCAAAATGTGACTTTAGAGGGATATTATTTTTTACTACACATAAATGAAACCTAATTAACATACACATAAATTGTGGAAGTTTAAAGTAAGTCCACTGAAGAAATAACAGTTCGTTTTAGTTGGGTTCATATGCAATGTTTGTCACAAATATGTCTTAACATGTGAATCTTTTCAATTGGTGCATGTGCCAGCTATTTCACCCATTGTTTACATCTGAAAAAATAATATAAATAAAATCACATTATTATTGAACAAATAGAATGTTAGCAGTCAGAATTGACTTGTAGTTTCTAAGTATAGTTCGTTTCGGATTGCCAAACCATCGAACTATCAGATTTAGGAAATAGTGTGTTTGTATTTGTGCACACAATCTTACACTATAAAAACATGTCCTACATAGATGGCTAGTCCAAAAATATATTCGCGTTGAATATCATATTACTATTAAAGTTGAAATCACCACATACCTTTCATCATCTAAGGGAAATATTGCTACAAATAGCCTTTTCTTGTTATCATTTTTTCCGCTTCTTGCACCATTTAATTGGAAAGTTTTATAACGCATATTTAATTTCTTAACAATTCTGTAAATGAACAACAGCTCCTATAGCAAAATTAAAAGCAATCTTAATTAATAAAATATATACAAATATAATTGTTTGATTTGACATTTGAACCTATTTCACTTGACAATGTCGTTAATAGACATATCACGAAAAGCAGAAAGAAGAGTAACCGTCATTAAAATTTGACCCCTGTAGTACATATAATTTTTACTATGGAAGTTGCACCAGCCTGAGGCTCGGATACGTAATCACAAAGAATAGAGTAGGATAGATCATAAACTAAGATCACTATTAGAGGAAAAAAGTAAAACTCAAAATGTGAAAGTTTCTCTATAAACATTCAAATTTGTTGATTATTCGTATGAATTTGGCAGCACGCTAATACTTTTTTTTAGAGGCTTAATTGAACGAGAAAAAAATTTAGAAAAAGAATTGTATATAACGAATATTTTCTATGGCCTGTAAATAATTATAATTTTTATCTATATATGCTAATTATGAATGTAAAACTCCGCGATACAGCAGAAATTCCTAATGTACCTAGTTGCAATGTTCTTTTCTACTAACTTAAAAGGAGGAGGTACTCAATTCGACAATTAGCTGGTTTCGATGATTCTATTTTTATTTGAAAGCTGGTGCTTCTCATGTGGTCCCATATAACCTATTATTAAAAGAAACAATAATTTAAAATTTTGTACAATCGACTTCAATATAAATTATTAAGAATAACTCAAAAACTATTCGTCAGACCTTGATCAAATTTATCGAAATCGGCTCACCGAGAAAAAAGTTATGAGGTAACACATAAAAAAACGTACAGTTGAATCGAGTACCTCCTCCTTTTTGAAGTCGGTAGAAAACACAAAGAACTGTTCATGTAAAAACTATTGTGGACTAATTGATAATGGAAGAAAACAGATCTTTAACAGGTGATGAGGAAACGTTTAATAGGTGTGACGAGTCAGAAACTGCTAACGTTAAAATTCGTCTGCGAAGCGTAGCATTTCCTAATCAAATATTTCAAACTTCCAATTAGATAATATGTTTTAACTGTTGGAGTAATGGATAGAATAAAAAAATTAAGATTAAATTTGTTACTAAGTTCTTATTAGACTTTCTTAATGCTGGAAATATTTAGGACATAGGAGTATAGCAGATTAACTTTCAGTAGTCTGTAAGCATCCACTAGCAAGATCTGTGTAGCAATAATGAATAAAAAGTAAAAGATTTGCATCATTTTGGCAACAACCTGCACAATAAGGCTAATTAGTGAATCAGACGACGTGATTTGGACGCGCAATCTTCTGATGTTATCATTTTGTATTTTTTTTTTGTATGTACCTTACAATTTTTATACTTGTCGAGATTGTGCTGGTCACATTCGTCTATTTGCATCTTAATTTTAATGCAGTTTTTTATCTTTATGCATATTTTATTAAAAGAAGGCAGGAATTATACAGGGTTATTTTGCAATAACCAGCCAAATTTGCAGAAAAGGTTCAGAATAAGTAATATAGGCAAATGGTGAAGTAAAATTCATTAAAAAAATCTCAAACATTCTGTCCTTTTTATTCTTTAAATTCAAAATGCGTGGGTAATGCATTATTTTAAGTGATTTTATTGCGCACGCAAACATTTGTAAGGGTCGATCAGTTGGCAAAAACTGGAAAAACATATTCAATTTAGGATAGTTTCAAATAAAAGTCGAAGCCTTATTTACTCGTATTTTCAAAAACTACAATAACGGTATATCATTATTTAATATATTTGAACTTAAGTTTAAAATTTGGTTACTCTGAAAATAACCCTGTATATAGCTACACTTTTGTAACACACATCGGATTATCATTCAGTAATCTGCAAGCACCCATTATCTTAAGACAGGTGTAGCAGTATTGAAGTGCCGTGTAGTGCGGGCGTAAGAGAATCCACTACACGATATCATCTCGTGGATGTAATAAGAGGCGACAGATGAAAACTGAAATTGGAGATAGGCAGCAGCATATTCTTAATGACAGCTCAATAATGAAAAAAAAAATTCTGCGGGTGCAAAGTCGCCTGCCAAGTACGGCAGATATGGCAAATATGAATAAAGAGGCAATCGATGGGAAGGCCTATGTTCAACAGTTGACTTTTATAGATAGGTTGTAGTAATGATGATCGATAATGAATGAACAGTATCTAATAGACTTAAGTTAGAACCAAGTAACAACATTTCGCCTTCTTAACTTGCACAATTCACATGAAAAACAGGCATTCAGCATTTTTAAGAATGCACTAACAAACAGTTACCTAATGTATACCCAAAAAGGTTAAACTACTCACTTTGAAGGGCAGACGTACATAAGGGAGCATTTTCACATCTATTATATTCACATAATAAGCAACCGTTTTTATACTAAGGAAGGTATTAAAACAAGCTACTTACTCTGCTGGATAAGCTTGAAGATCAAATTGTTTTCTTCCTGAGTTTCCATAGAAACAAGATCCATACAGTATTCACGGCAGACGTTGCGTCCGTCCAACCAATCAAACTTCTTGTTGGCCAGCGCGGGAACATGTCCGGTGTAGAAGTAGTGGTGGCCCTGGTAAAAGAATTCCTTTGGTCCTGAAAAGAATAACTTATTTTAGAGGAGTACAAACAACGCGGGTTTTTAATCATTGTGACAAGTTTTCAGTCATACAGACATTACTAAGTATTTAATATAAGTATTTTCTGCGTTTACAATAACGACAGAGATTACACGTACCTATCACTTTGTGTGGAGTACGTACATGTGGTCTTAGCAAGTACTATGTACCTACGTACGACCCTTTAGCTTACCCTACTACTAAGCATCCTGATTTTAAAAATAAGTTAAAAAAAACTTTCTTAGGTATTTTAAATCATGTGATTATATGACCATTTCTTTATAAACTCTTATTAGGGAATATCGACAATAATTTATCAATATTAAAATCTTACTCAACTTATTATTACGTTACATCAAAATAAGATGTACAATTGACAACTGTTGGCTACAAACAGCCCAACAACACAAGGCTACATAGTGACCTCACGTAACAGTCTCGACGCGCGGCACGAATAAAATAACAGTATAATAATTATTTACACACGCGGACGTTTAGTGCTGCGTTAATAGACTCCGACCCTCGTAAGTAGTCATGTACCCATCGAATATCTCAATCATGGTCGTGACATTGAAGTTTCCTAGGTGATATGAACAATGGTATTAATATTGGTCAGTGTTGTAAGAACATACCCAAACATACCTTTACATAACCCCGGCTTACAAACTTTACGTATTACGTAAAAAAGTGGACACCAAACTGCGCGGTTATGTTTTGAAGCAACAAGCCGAATATAGCCGGCCGCTTTTTTGTGTCCGACCTTATTGTGACGAAAAAGAAATAGATTTATTATAATTATAATGTGTATAGGTATGTGTAGAAATAGTATGCAATATGATAGCTTACGATAGATTTAAAAACGAGTATATCCGCAGTAGAACCAGAGTAACCGACATAGCCCAAAGAATTAGTATGCTGAAGTGGCAATGGGCTGGCCATATAGCTCGAAAGACCGACAACCGATGGGGAAGAAAGGTTCTCGAGTGGCAGCCTCGTACCGGCAGGCGAAGTGTAGGGCGTACCCCCATTAGATGGAGTGACGACCTGGTAAGACATGCAGGACGTCAATGGATACAGGTGGCTCGGGACCGTGCTTTATGGCATTCTTCGGGGGAGGCCTAATTTCAGCAGTGGATTTGTAAAGAACTGTAATGATGATGATGATAGCTTTAAAAATTTCTCAAAAAATTTCAAAATTGTCTAATAAAAGCTTGAAAATTGCTTCTAACCATCAGCTTATACAAAACTATATACAGCTGTGATACGATATGAAATTTTAAGCTAATTTAAATAAAAACTTTTAATCTTCCTGCTGGGGTTGGGTCACCCTCATTTTGGATGTAAAGGAGCCGGGAAAGTTTCACCAACCTAATTATGGGCGATGGTGTGCAGTGCAAATGGTGTGGTGTTCAGGAGTGCGAAATTTTTTAAATGAGAAATCTAATTATCCTCACAATATTTTTCGTCACTCTTTTGGCCAAGTTATTAAGTTAAAGTTGTGGAGATCAGAACAAATTCGTTAAAGTAAATAGTTTTTGGTAATAAAAACAACAGCCCCTTTAATCACGTTGATTTACTAGCCGGTAATAAGTAAAAAATATTACCATTTGTCGTGCAACAACGATTGCCATTGAAAACAGTGCTTTTATCACGCTGGGCCAATTTGGCCAAGGACATTCTACCGGATACGTTTTTTATATTCATTGTAAGTTTAATAAGCACTTATTGTAAGTTTAATAAACGCAAAATAGTCCCTTGACGCCACCAAATCTTAAATTCCACGATGAAAACAGGGTAAGACATAAGTATAAAAAGTGGGTGTACCTTCACTTAATCAGGTATTCATTATGAAATTCCGTCTCAATCATCACAAACACAATTAACATAAGAATAAGATGTCATGTTATTCTTTGGACTCCCGGAAATCTGACACATAACATCAGCCTCTAAATGAGAAGTTAATACTTACTTTAGTCAATTCATTGCTTTAGTGCTACAAAAAGTTACATTAATGAAATGAAATAAAAAGTTTTTCCAACCTTTGTTATTGTACATTTTGAATAACGTTTCTCTGAATGGAGAAGTAAGTGATTGTGAAATCTCCCGATGACATCCCATTTTTTGTCGTATTTTCGACCGTAATTGTGGGGTAAAAAAGGCACTTATGGCAATCATTATCATCATTACAGACCTTCACAAGTCCACTGCTGAACTTAGGCCTCCCCCAAGGAATGCCGCAAAGCATTGCCCTGAGCCACCTGCATCCATCGACTTCCTGCATGTCTTACCAGATTGCCACTCCATCTAATGGGGAGCCGTCCTACACTTCGCCTGCCGGTACTTCTAGGGGTGCTTCTCGAGAACCTTTATTCTCTTTTCGTATTGCAATAGCTATCATACACAATCATGTGTTTAGATGTGAAAGAAGCAAGAGAGTGCGTCAAGATCGTGCCAAATGGAAGTCCCTATTCTCCGCCTACCTCTGAGTGACGGCCGCGAGAGTTTTATATGTTTATGATATCTTAATATAAAAATGTGTTTTTGCGGACACCTAACCTACCTAAGCTAGGCGGCCAACGAAATAGACACACTCAGAGACTTAAGGAAATAGCTCTTTCTTTTTTTCTGTTTGGTGAAATTCGTCTAAACGAGTCAGCTTCAGGTGTACTAAGTTTTATAGGTTAGATAAAGATCTACGATCGAAAGTAACATTTTTTTTATTCATGTACTTATATAGTTAAGTAATAACTGAATTGAGCGTTCGTAATTTATTATACTACGAGTACCACTTCAAACTTAAGTGGAACAATTACTATTCATTGCGTAAAATATCAATAAAGAGGCGAGATTGCTTTGTGAGTGTGCTAGGATTCGCACGGCCGACAATTAAGTATTTCGAATGGAACCTTGCGCGGTGACAGACAGACGGATGTGCGAATGTTTATCCGCTATCGCAAATCGCACACGCTATGCCGACAATAGAAACAATTCACGCGAATCTTAAGTATTCTCATACCTATGTAATGTTCAAATAATAGCCTATTATCATAAAATGTTTTATACGATCAGATTAACATTTTAATCGCCGGATGTAAAAGCTTTAAATACCAATTACAGCTCAAAATAACAAAAGTTGCAAATGGCTTATTATAAACTTTTTCGCATATAGTTACCATATTTTTTTATTGCTTCTCAGTCTGAGGCATTGTTTTGAGAAGACTAATTATTTTATAATACTCATATTTTATAATGACAACCTTGGTGATCGTTAGCACGACAGCTGATCATGTGATTCAGCTTTCGAATCTCGGATCAGGCCAAACTTAGTTATTGGGTCTTTATGTCAAGAGATCCACAATAGCAGCCCGGAATCAGGAACTATGATAACGAAGTATTCACCGCCATGTTGTGTAAAGCACGTTAGGCCGTTATTCCTGCGACTGATCTCTCTCCGGTCGTGTCGGATAGCCGTCCCATCGAACTATAAGAGTGAAGGAATAGATACCTGTTCTTGCGCATATACTTGTGCACTATAATCCTCTGCTTTCGCAGGTGGCTAGTCTACGTGGAAACTGGCCGCTTGACCGAAATTCAGTCTGGAGGACAATATTATTTTATATTATAGTATTAACTTGCTATCGCCCGCGGCTTAGCTTTGCAATGTATTCAGGTGACAGGTGTTCCGGGACCGACCACTTCAATAGTTAAATACTATCAAAATACATTTTATTAACGGTTTCATTGAAAATGTTAATTTATTATTACATGCTTGAGCTACGCCGCAGCGTATTATGGAAACAGCAGAAATGAGTTGGTTTGGCCGGAGAAGGACCACGCTCGCACGAAATACCAACGTGAAATACTCGTAGCAACACAACAATGCTGTTTTGTATAATGAGGATCCACACACTCTAGTGAGGTTCTCTAACCACCGTTTTACTGATAACGAGACATTTTGTCCTACGCCAACCCGTTCGCCAAGCGTAACAACTAGGAAATATTCTCCGGACTTTTGATAGGATATAATGCGAAAGTTACTTCTATAAAAAATCTAATCCTTTATTAATGTAGAAAGGCTAATAAAAGATTAAAATTATTACGTTTACTTTTTATCGGAATTAGCCAATAATTTACAACATTAAAGTTTAACAATCGAGCTGTAATATCATCGATATAACTTGGAACTTATATTGAAAGGCTACACTTTGATGAAGGCTGTATTGCGAAATTGCTTCATCACTGATACTTAACTATTTTTTGTAGTTCATGATCGTGCTAAGTTAAGTAAATGTAATTTTCAATGTTTCAAGAAATATTATTCATATATGTAATATCATACTCGTATATCAATAAAATCGCTATTCCATTATCATATGTAATTTTTTTTGAGGATAAGGGTGACAAACGAGCACACAGTCCACCCGATGGTAAGTGGTTGCTGTGGCCCATAGACATCTACATTTATATTCGTTTGCGAATCAAAATGCAGATGCGTTGTCACCCGTGAGGACTAAGATGGAATGCCTCGTTTCCAGTAAAAAGGGTCTCCGGTTATCATAGATAACATAATATGATTCATTGAATATGGAAAAGATGTGACGGTTTAGTTTGTACATTTGACTCATATTATACACTAGATGTTCCCCGCGACTTCGCTCGCGTGGAATTTCTTGCGATTGGATTTCATAGGCTTGAATTTTTTGCGCGGAACCCTAATTTCTTTCCTAAAATAAAAGTACCCTAAGTTACTCCTTATAACATCAGCTATCTGCCAGTGAAAGTCCCAACCAAATTTTCACAGGTTCACAGGTTTTTGGGTGATACGTGTTCAGACAGACGTCGTGTTAGAGTTTAATTATAGTACTAGCTGTTCCCCGCGACTTCGTCCGCGTGTAATTTAGGGTTTTAATTTTTTTGCGCGGAACGGATTTTTAAATATAAGTACCCTAAGTTACTCCCTATAACATATTTTACGCT